CAGAAACTGGTTAAACAGCTGTGCCATGTTGAGATTAGGTCGTACGTTTGGACAGTAACCAGAGAGAAGCATAAAATAAAATGTTTAAAAAGTGTGAATAATGGACTGCATTAACTGAGTTGTTGGAGTGAAAAAATTGAGCATTTGTATTAAAATTTTACAAATGATATTAAACAGCTGTAGAGACCAACTTTGTGAGACTGGTATAGTCCTGCATTAGCTAGTAATATGTTTCTGTTTTTTAAGATTTTGCATTTAGGCTATTGCAATAAATGGCCATAAGTAAATGGTTAAACTAGTATAAGTTATAAGTAATAGTAATAGGTTTTGGCTTTAATCCTTCTCTATAGTTTTAATATTGTCTTTTAAAGTTATTTTAAAAAGAAATCCTGATTCCAGAGTTGTTCCTGAGTTCCTGGTTGTCAGAGGATAAGTTGGGGCCTGACAAGTCATTGAGAGAAAATCTTGGAATGGATATCTTTGAATCCATTCTCCTGATTAAGGAAACTACATTTCTTGCCTACATGACATTTTGAGGATCAATTTATTGTAAAGTGCTGACAGTAACTTGGACACTTGTTTGCATAGAGAATGACAAAGCAAATGCAATAGCAGAAGGAAAGAAAAACAGCACATGTTTGAGTGTATGTTCACTTACAGGTGAATGACCATAAGACCTGCTTTCCCATTGGTTGGATGTAAAATTGTATTTGATCAAGTCACCAAGAGCTCTGTTCAGATCAAATCCTGCAAAGAAGATAAGCAAAATATAATTCAAACAAGCCAATAATGAGATATGAGACTGATGACTCAGACATTGACATTCAGCTCTAACAAAGACATCAACATCACTGATGGTTAATATGTAACACAGCAACAAATTGTGTTGAGTTATGATTATTAACATATACCAAAGAATCAAAGTCAAAAACCTTGCCGTTGTCTTGTGTGTTAAAAATGTTTTTCTAAGCAGAAAAATTGTATCAGTGGAATTTAACTGTGTGTTGCTCTTACCGCCAAACAGGTACATGGCTCCTGTGGAGGAGAGGTACACGCCTGCAGAACCTGTCCTGGGAGGTGTGTAGGGGTTTTCTTCACTCACACGCCACCACTTCCCTGCACCGCTGTCATTATAGAGACCAAGCTGGCAGTTTTGACCCACAAAGCCTGGCTTACACAGACAACGCTCTCCTTTCTGAAAAAATAAATAAATGAATGAAGGCAAATATGAAGTTTCATCACGGCACACAAATGAATAACCTAATCAGGTTGAGAAACGCGTTACTGTGCGACTATAGTATATATTTTTTATGTGTGTTCATTTAATCGTCCCTATCCCTACTCTTACCTTGTCACACTGGCCGTTCACAGAACAAGCTTGAGTGCACAGAGGGGTTGTACATGAGGGCCCACCCCAACCCTGATGACAATGGCACTTTGATGTAGAGGAATCACAACGACCATGACCGCCACACGCTCCAGGGCACAAAGAGAAGGTGTAAGTTGCATTGAAACCCAGGAGGTTGTAATTAGCGTCACTGAAGAGGTGAAGCAGCATCTGGAACACAGTTTAAGAGTGAACACAAATTAAGTTAGAATTCAATGCTAATGAAGTTTCAAGAATCATCCTGGCCTTTCAGCTGTGGTATCTTTTCTTGGTTACCTTGCCAGACTTTGCTTCAACGGGCTGGGGCAACGTGTGGCCACTCAGACTGGCTAGCAGGGGGCTTTGGTAGGAGTCCCCATCATACACAAAAAGGTAGTCATAAGTGCACTCTGTGTTCATGAAGGTGAAATTCAAGACAATGCGGTGACTGTTGTTGGGAGCTGGAAAATATGAAGAATTCGATAAATATCACTTTGAATAATCACAGAAAACAACAAAAAATAATGACAAAAACCATTTTCTCCACCTTTGATGAGCCACTCGCAATTCCCATTGACAGAGTAGTTTCCTGCTCCATCTGTCACATAGCCAGGTGGTCCCCTCAAAACCTGCCTGTGGCCCTTGCAGTCCCCTGCCTGGCACAAAGGCGACTTGGCCAACAGGAGAACCACCAGTATGAAGGAGACAGGGAGGGGGGAGGCCATCACTGGCACTGCCTGAAAGATGGAAAGGGAAAGAGCAAGGTGGGAATCGGTTGGTGTTGGTGTCCTAATAACAAACGTTGAACATTTTCAGCACATATGAAGACCAATCTCTTAAGGTTCGTTTATCGACTACATATAACAACTGAACGATCCGATCTGGATACAAGGGAACGCCTTATGGACATCAAAGTCCCCCTAGTTGTTCTCAGGTCTCGCTGTTCAGTCTTATGCCACTGAAAGGGTCCAATTTAAAGCGCTATGAGTCATATGTCGACTGCAATGCCATTCACCCTGCAGCAACAACCAATCAGGCTTAATGATCAGATTACAAGGATTACTACAAATTGCCAGACTCAAGAAAAGCTATTGCAAAAATTCTTATGCTGATGTTGCTAACGTGTACAGGGAAGTAGCTCGTAAACATTACGACTCCAGAAATCATACCACACAAACGTCAAGGTGAAACGACGATAATCCACATCTGCAGTGTTACATTAGAATAGCACACAACACAGTTTAACTTTTATTATCTGGGTTTCTTACAAAAAACTAGCCAAAGGATGAACCTACGACAATTAGCAGCAAGGGTCTCTGCAGGCTATCACAACAAAGCTAACGAAAGGGTAGCTAAGCTAAGGTAGCAAACGGAATACAGTTAATCTGAGCTCATCAGTTGGTCTGGATACAAAATAACACTTACCATTTCCCGTCTCTTTGTTCGCATGGTGGTTTACATTTTCGGCAGGCCTTTAAACGTCAGTTACTGCACGAGCTAACTAGTGAGGGCTGCAAACTGACAGCTGGCTATCCAGTCGATACTAAATTGGATTCACTGCAGAGGAGAGCGCTACAGCATTCTGCTCTGCTAGCCTGTCCGCTAGCTAGTGGTAGCGGCTCGGCCAAATCCAGATGCGCAATCGTTGGTTGCTGCAGACCCTAACAGAATCAGTCATTCTTGAGAGTAATTCTTCATTATGTAATAACAAAATGATGGTACACCTCGGGGAACTGCTTGCAGCTATCAGCGACACGTTTTAAAAGCATCGACGCTACTCCTGCGGACCATGTTGTGGTGAGAAGCCAGTGTTTTGGTGCTTTTTGGCAGGCGAGCAATAACCAACGGTGACCAACACAAAGACCCATCCCACTACTGCCACCCAGCGGAGACAATCAAGATTTACACTTGGATCTTGTGTAAGCCATAAACGGAGGGTTGTTTATGAAATATTTTGTTCATTATTTATATCACTTATTTGTGGATAAAGTGGATTATCTACTTGTATCTTCCCCCACCCCTGTCTCACTAGCCGTTTACATATCCTCCTTTACTATAAATCCATTAATCTTCTATGTGGTCTTCTTTTCCTCCTACCTGACAGCTCCATATTTAACGTCCTTAGTCCAATAAATCCACAATCCCTCCTCTGCACTTGTCCAAACTGCTCAGCCTTAGCTGTTCTTCTCGAAAATTAATTTCTAATCTTGTCCATTCTGGTTAGTTGTAAATGTTGGCATCTTCAGCTCTGCCTCCTGTGCTTTTGGTCAGAGCAACACATCACAGGTCTCACTACCTTATTCTGAACCTTCTCTTTCCATCACAAATTACCCCTGATTCTCATCTCAGAATCAGAATCGTGTTTATTGGCCAAGTATATGTGCAGACACATACAAGGAATTTGGTTCCGGTAGATGGAGGCTCTCAAGCACAGCAATGTAAATCACACGCACGCACACGTGTCTATATATACATTACACATGCATACACATACATACACAAAGCTGTGTAAACCAACTATAAATAACTAATCTAAACTTATATGCATAAAATACAGGAATGAAATGAAGTGGAATGAATACTACAGAATGTACATAAGGTGCAGTTGCAGTCTGGCAGTGGGAGCAGTGTGACAGGTCAACTGTTTAGAAGGGAGATGGCGAGGGGAAAGAAACTGTTCCTATGTCAGGTGGTCCTGGTCTGCAGGCTTCTGTACCATCTGCCAGAGGGCAGCAGATCAAAAAGTCTGTGTGCAGGGCGTGAGGGGTCTGCGATGATTTTCCCTACCCGTTTCCTGGTTCTTGAGAGGTACAGATCCTGGATGGAGGGCAGGCGGGCGCCGATGATCTTCTCTGCTGCCTGTACAGTCCGCTGAAGTCTGCTCCTGTCCTGTTTAGTGGCTGCACCATACCAGACTGTGATGGAGGAGCACAGGACAGACTCAATGACTGCAGTGTAGAACTGGATCAGCAGCTCCTGTGGAAGACTGTATTTCCTCAGTTGTCTCAGCAAGTACATCCTCTGCTGGGTCTTTTTGAGGATGGAGTTGATGTTGGTCTCCCACTTCAGGTCCTGGGAGATGGTGGTACCCAGGAACTTGAAGATCTCCACAGTCGACACCGGGCTGTCTGATATGGGAAGGGGGAGCAGTGTTGAGGGGTGTCTCCTGAAGTCCACTGTCATCTCTACAGTTTTAAGAGTGTTCGGCTCCAGATTGTGCTGACTGCACCAGAGTACCAGCCGCTCAACTTCCTGCCGGTATGCAGACTCATCACCATCCTCCATCCTGGACTCTCTTCACTGCTCTTGTGCAGACCGTTGATGTCAGGTATTTAAACTCATCTCCCATCACTACCTCTACTCCTTGCATCTACACTGCTACATCTGTCCCATGGTCATTCTCGTTCTCCCTCTTATGTTCTTGCTTTTTGTTTGTTTGGGTATCTGTAAGCACTTATTGATTTTCTGCAAATTAACAAGTTAAAGTATTATTTTCACCACTGCTGAACTCATCTGCTCCCTGCCGAATAAAGTTCCCCATACTGTTTGCAAACGTTTTGAAAAGAACTCAACACACATTTAATTTGAAACAGTTTTTAATTGAAGACTTACACACAAGTGTTAATGTTTACACACACTGTAGTAGCATATTTTATATCACAAAGTGTTGCTAAGCATGAATTTAGTATAGTGAATGATAGCCAGCATAGCAGTCTAACTATCCCAACAATCCCAACAATCAGCAGTTTCATTTTGCATTTTAATCCAAAACATCAGCATTACCAAAAACATTTGAAGCGCATTTAAGTGTATATTTCAAGAAATATTCCTATTACTCACAGAAATCAAATGAATCAAAGGCTAACAACAACTACAATATCATCCCCTAAAACCCAGAAGCAAGTGACTTTATAACAGTGAAGTTTCAAACTTAATCACCATCATCGCCTTTATTTCATTGAAGGGTTAAAAAAAAATAAAGCTCTCAGTCCAATCCTTTGTTTTTGTCATGTGTTTTGTTTCTGTTTGGCCACATTAACTACGCTCAAAACACGAGGGTAGGGAGGTGCAGAGGGCCAGACAACTGTTGTGCAAAACAAACAGTGAAGGCAGTGAAGTAAAGGCAACTCCATGAACTCATAAACAAATCAATACGGCCTGAAATCTTCCATCATTGCAATGCAAGGTGAAAACAAAGAAAAAAGAAAGAAATAACAAAATACACCTATGAGTAGAGACGAGACAGAAAGCGTGAGTGTCTGTGTGTGGACCACAGGCTGATATTTCATCGCTCTGATATAAATAACCACATCCTTACTGTGGTTGTAAATCACAGCCTGAACGGCAGCCCGCATTAAGCTGTAATATCACCACCTATGTTGGTGGTGTCATATGTCACAGTCACTGTTAATTATTTATGAGACTATCATATCAGTAATATTAACACAGCAAGAACCTTTCGATCATGGCGATCATCTTCGATACAACATAGCGTGACATCCCAAATTCAGTTTACTTTTTCCTCCTTTGGTCGGTCACTAGCAAGGTGCCAAAAGATCAGTGGATTCGGTTTCTCTCAGCAAAGGCACTACGGCACAAAGTGTCATCCTTTGATCACTTCTTGGTTTCTGTCTTCTGCACGCCGTCAACACGTTTCATCTTGACTGTCTTTTGCAGGCTGGTTTGCATGTTTTAAAGTTTAGGCATTTCACTCTAAATTGTGTTTCTGACATTGTGTTTTATCACACGCTTCGAACATTATGTCAGTGTCATTATTTTCATCTTTATACTTAAACTGATGTTTCATCTACTGGCAGATTTAATCTTTTAAACTTTTATTTGATGTTCTCGTTGCCCCTGATCGACTGATAAAGGCTTGTCGAGTTTCTCTTGCTTTTAAAAGTTTTTCATCATTGATTTTCAATTTTGCATCTTCACGTCAACCTTATCTTGGGTTGTTGACATGTGTATAGCTATTTTTCCTGGAACCAGAGCCATGGGCGAGCTATGGAGGCCGGGACCAAAAATAGGAAATATTGCACCTTCAAACTTGTGTGTAAGTGTGACCAGGTGCTTCCCTAACCCTCCATCCCAAAATGACACCTCTCCCTTTTCTATATTAAGCTTGACTCGAATCTTTTCAGGTCGCTGCTGAAGCTGCAGCTCTTCACGCTTAGTCGTCATTACATTATACACCCCTTTGCTCAGTCCTAAGGCCCACACACCGCGGTTTGTTGCAACTGTAAACTTCTTTTTACGCTGCAATGACTCTCTGCACACTCCCACTATCCACTTGGGGTTGTCACCTACAAAGACATCCCATTTGTGTTTCCCGGAGGTGTAAGCTTCAGCACCTAGGACAAAGACGCAGGGATCAAAGCGCTGTGGGTTATCGGGGATGGTCAGCCGCTCTGAGCTTTCCTTCACACTGACCAGGTCTGAACTCAAAGACAGCCAAGGCGAGGCTGTGTTCGGGTTCAACAGCACTGGATCTGCACACACAGGGTGAGAAAAGCCACAATGGGGGTCAAATTTCTTGTGAAGAGATATGCTAAATGTACTAAATGTAGGAAAGTCATGTACAATCTCCATGTACTGTTCTAGAGCTCAAGACTACAAACATCCACTATTAAGTGCTGGCAGGAAAAGACTAACTAGTATTAAAATGTACTGATTCCAAGGTTCAGTGGCATTTTTTTCTGTCTGAAATAAATAAACAGACTAGTTATTTTTGTATTCGGTCCTGAAATACTGTAGTATAGCCATCCTCAAGCTCAAGCTTAGTTTTCATGGAGGATCTGGATCACTGTCAAATGATAACAAATACATGATGAACAGCTCAGTCCATACAACACTGGTTTTCAGGCAATGACTGAAGTGCAATACTGATCTACATTCACAATTCTTATAATAAAGTTTAGCCTATCAGATGCACTCTAGTGCACGTGTGTCTTCTAAAATTTGTGTATATTTCGGGCAATAAAGGCAGTTCCACTGTTCCAAAATCCCACCGTGTAACGTACTCACAATATTTCACATGAGACTGCATTTTCTTCCATACGTTGAAGCCCAGACCACCAACGTGTTTGGCCACGTTCAAAAGGGATCCGTAGGGAATGCGAGGCTCTGAACGAGACCAGTGAGCTCTAGACAAGAGACGGCAATGTGGAAAGTTAATGAGAGACAGTTGTAACTTAGCAAAAGACAGCAGAGAGCTAAATAAAAGAAAAAACTGTAATGTGACGATTGTGCAAATATTTATCAAAAACATCATTGTAATGAATTTTTTAGATGTATTTAATCTATAACAGAGATTGTTTTTGCAAAGATTATTTCTGATTACAGCAAGTTTTGCAGGGACTTACTGTCTTTTTAAATTCTGGAAATTCTGAAACAAAAAAAGTGACCGAAATCAGTTTGATTCAAGTCATGTAAAGCGCTCGTGAGACACAAAACGACATTGTGATAACAGACTTTTGTTTTTGTTTTTTTTACCCGGAGGAGTGGTAGATCCTCATTGCCCATCTCCTTCTTAATTGTATCAATGAGCTCCTTCATAGCGACAACATCCTTTTCTGTGCTTTCAATCTGTTTCTGTATGCCAGCGATCTTCTCCCCCTCCTCATCAGACAGAGCTTTAAGACGCATCGCTTCTTCTGCGGTGAGCACATCGTGAAGCCTCTGAAACTCTGCTTTGATCTGCTTTTCTGCTTCTTCAGCCTGATACTGTATTAAGACAGAGCAGATTTGTACTGTACATTTGTGCTGTATGCCAGAAAAATATTAACGTGAAGCAGTGAAATTAATACCCCATAACCTATGGACAGAAATATGCTTTAAAAGCGTTGCAAATATGAACGATATGATCCACAAGCGTACAATTGTGTACAGTGATTTGTGTGTAACTTTTGTTTCATGTCACAGACTGAAATGGAGACATCTGGGCTTTCTCTCTGTATTTGTCTTTTTTTAATGTATTACCTTTTTTTTTTTAATGAAAAAGTCTTTTCTTGTTCTCAATAGACAGAACCGTGCACGTGTGGTCAAATTGCTTTGTATTAGTGCGTGGATTGAAGCATGTATTTGTGAGTCCACAGAAGTTACACATGAATCACTGTACACAATTGTGTATCTTACTTTTTGCCTGTGGATAACATTGTACGTATTTGCGATGTTTCTGAGTCATATTCCTCTCTAATTTATTTAATCTGCACCGGATCAGTTTAACATAAGGGGGCAAAGTACTTTACAGATCGCCCCAGGAAGCCACGCTTTAGAAACTGAAGATGTCTGAATTCAAAATAACAGTCCTGCTGCTATTAATAACCAGCTTAATCACTATTCATGTAATAAGAACACCGTGAGACATGTCAGTCACCTTACCTTGATATAGGTCACTGCGTTTTTGAGATTGCGAGATGTTTTCTTGTACGAGTCCACTTTCTTTTCAAAAATGTGGACTCTCTCGCTCAGCTCCTTCTGCAAAAAAGCACAAAATGTTTTAGGCCAGTGACAAGGGTTACACACACAACACAAATATACACATGTTAGACAGATGACAGGATATCAAATTGTAAATGGTCTGGTACTTATAGGAGATACTTATATAGTGCCTTCTATTTAATATGAGCATTCAAAGTTCTTCCTACTATGTCTATCCATCTATCAGTATCTTGCTCAAGGATACTTCAACAGACTGTAGGATCTGGGGATTGACCCTTTCTGCTACCAGAGCCACTGCTGCCCAAAAGATTGTGCTTTAAAACAATTGTTGTAGGGGGATAGAGTTACCAGAGAGCTGTTACCAAAAAAGGGTGACAACGTTTATTGCAGGCCAAGATATTCACAAGCATTCACTGTGGTGCTTCAGGTGGTTGTACAGACTGCAATAACAATCCTGTGAACAATTTTCTGTCTTTGATGGCAGATAACGGGCATCTGATATACTTCTTGATTATCTCCTTTTACAGAAGATCCAAAATTGCCACCGTTGCTGCTGATGACATTATATCAGAGCCTACATAGCTGATAGAAAGGACATTAACGCTAACTAAAAACGCATTTGTAATTTGAATCCACATTCAGTTTTTCTTTTTTAGTCTGGCACTGGCCTTAAACAAAGTTTGGTAAACTTACTGTTAACACCTTTACATAACATATTACTAAATGAGCAGCTGCAACTACAGTTTGTCAGCTTTTAAGAAATCTCAAACAAACCAGTTCCTGCTGGTGGAAACAGGATTGCATAGCACTTTTTTTCTTTCTCAAGAAGAATCTGACAAACTGGTTAGGGGAACTCTTACCTTGCACATGGGCGCCCCATCGCTCAGTGTGTACAGCCTGTGGGTGCTGTGCAGAGTGACGCAGTCCACGCACACCGGCTCCTCGTCCTTCTCGCAGTACAGCTCCAGGGGTTTCAGGTGCAGGTTGCAGACTGCGTCACTGGGCTGAATGGTTTTCGGTCGTTTGTTCGTCTGTTTAAGGAAGGACTCGCAGGTGCTATTGAGCGCACGATTGGCGATGGCCTTGTCTTTCTCACACTCCTCCCTGCAGACGGGACACTTTTTGCTGTACTTAAAATTTTCCTCCAGACACTGCCGACAGAAGCTGTGGGTGCAGGGCAGCAGCATCGGGTCCCGGAATATGCCCTGGCATACAGGGCAGGTCAGCTCCTGCTGGAGAGGTAAAGGCTCATCCTCTTCCATGTTGTCAGACATGGCTTCACAGGCCCGCTTCAATTTGCTTTCGCTTTCAAAAACAGCGAAAATCGACAAATAAAGGCAGACAGACACGTATCCACCCGCCTCCGTGGGTTAGGCGAAATCAACTGGCGAAATGTTGGTTAGATTAGAACAGAAAGCAAAAAATAACGAAGATTTACTATCATTGCGTTGACAAAGTTCAACAACTTCTTCCCGCAACTCCTTTTCCGTGTTTGTGATACAGGAAGCAGATCTACTCACTGTTTTTTGAAGCACTGCCCTCTAGTGGTCCTGGAGGGAACAATAAATATCTGGTGGGGAGCAGGATGAGCTGATCCCAACAAACCCAATATAGGACAAAGAGTTTGTTTGTGGGAAAATGAGGGACACGCTTCTAGTGCTGAAAAGGATGTGAAGAAATTTATTTTTTCTGAAATTTGACATTCAAAAATTCCATAATAGAATAGAATAGAATAGAATGCCTTTATTGTCACTATACAGTTGTACAATGAGATATAGAGCATCTCCTACTCAGACTAAACATGCTGGGGGGGGGGGGGGGGGGGGGATACAGTTCTGCAGCATTATGTACATATGGACAGTATTAACATAGGGAAAAAACCATATATATATATATAATGTACAATATACAGGTAATATGTAAGTAATATGTAATAAATAGCGTTATGTATATACAGTTGAGTATTGCACATGGAATTGGTATAAATAGTATAAATAGTGTTTTGTATATACAGTTGAGTTGTTGCACGTAGAATTGGTATTGCACAGTGGTGGTCCATATAGAGGAAGTGGGAAGTGGGGGGCTGTGTTATCTGTGCATGTGTGAGTTCAGGGTGGTTATCGCTTTGGGGAAGAAACTGTTTTTGGTGCAGCTGCCGTAACATACCGTGATGCAGTAGGTTAGCAGGCTCTCATTGAATGAGCAGTAGAAGGTCAGCAGCAGGTTGGAGTTCAGCTTGTACTTCCTGAGGACTCTCAGGAAGTGCAGCCGCTGTTGAGCCTTCTTGATGACCACTGAGATGTTTCCTGTCCAGGAGATGTCAGCAGAGATGAGGACACCAAGGAACCGGAAAGTGTGGACCCTCTCCACACGCTCCCCATTGATGTAGAGGGGGGCCAAGTCAGTGCTGTGTCTCCTGAAGTCCACAATGAGCTCTTTGGTTTTCTTAGTGTTCAGTGCCAGGTTGTTTTTTGAACACCATGCTGCCAGCTTCAGGACTTCCTCTCTGTACTCTGCCTTGTCTCCCTTCGAGATGAGTCCGACTACCGTGGTGTCATCAGCAAACTTGATGATGAGAGTGTTGTTGTGGGTCGAACTGCAGTCGTGGGTGTAGAGAGAACACAAGAGGGGGCTCAGCACACAGCCCTGTGGGGAGCCGGTGCTCAGTGTGCGAGTGGAGGAGAGATGAGGGCCGAGTCTTATAGTCTGGGGCCGGTTTGTGAGGAAATCCTTTATCCAGGCACATGTGAGAGGAGGGAGGCCAAGAGTGACCAGTTTGGTGATGAGGATGTCCGGGATGATTGTATTAAAGGCTGAGCTGTAGTCCACAAAGAGCATTCGGACGTAGCATTGCCGCTGCTCTACTGTAGGTGACTCAGCACAGCGTGGAGGGCTGTGGCGATGGCGACTTCTGTGGATCTGTTTGCACGGTATGCAAACTGGTGGGGGTCGAATTCTGGGGGGAGGTAATCCTTGATGTGCTGAAGGACTAGTCTCTCAAAGCATTTCATGATTACCGGTGTGAGGGCCACAGGGCGGTAATCATTCAGGCTGGAGATGGGAGACTTCTTCGGCACTGGGATGATTGTGGCTGATTTTAGACAGGATGGGATGCCTGCCTGATCCAGTGAGAGGTTGAAGAGTCTGGTGAAGATGAGGGTGAGCTGGTGTGCGCATGCTCTTAGTACCTTGCTAGGTACTCCATCTGCACCGGCCGCCTTCCTGGGGTTCACTTTTAGGAGCACACGTCTGACATCGTGCTCCGTTACAGTGAGTGGATGCAGGAACCAGGTGAGGATGAGGATGGGAGCAGGGCTGAAGCAGATGAGTGTTGCTGTTGTGGTGTTTCAAAGCGGGCGAAGAAGCTGTTTATTTCCTCTGCCAGCTGCCCATTCGGGTTTTCTGTTTTCGCAGTGCTGCCTCTGTGGTTGATGATGTCTTGCATTCCCTGCCACACCTCTCGTGTGTTGTTGCTGGACAGGTGGGACTCGATGTTCCTTTTGTGGTCTGAAACAGACCAGCGATTAAAGGAACATGAGGTTTCTTCTTTTCCTTCGATCATAGTTTTACTTTCATGCATTCTCCATTTTGTCCCAGTAACATTTATATGAGCTCCTTGCTGTTATTTCAGTTCAGGTTTCAGAGATGGTGCCATCCATCCATCTGCTAGCACATTTCTTTCAGAGCGACAGCTTTCTCATGACACTGACAGATAGGTGTCACCACAGGGGAAAACCCTGTGCCAGGTACTGTCAGCAAGTTTCACCCACTGGATGTTTGCAATTCTTGTGGCTGTCTTTCTTTCTCTTTGTGGTTTTTTTTTTAAAAGCCTATTCCAAAGAAATCTGCACAACCTTTGAAATCTGCAGTGACAAACATTTTTCCACTTTGCTGCAGCGTGGAAACTAAATAACACTTTAGCCTGCAGGAGACCCACAGTGAAACGTTTTGGTGCTTTTGCAGGCAGATTTTAGAAAACTATCTTCCCTTACGGTGGGTGTTGATTTTCAAAAATTAAAGGTAATCAAAATGTAGAACATTTTTTCAGTATGGGGAGAGCAAAGGACAAAAATGTGTTGCGGTCCCATATAAAACAGAGGGTGTTTTCACCCCAGTGAAAGGAGAAATGAAACCTATGAACTACGGCATAGATTTATAAAAAGGCATGCCCACTATGCATTTCCCAAATCAATGACAGTTTTTGTACATTTAGGCCGCTTGAGGCTGTCACAATGAATAAATATTATTTGAGATGGTTTTATTACTTTTTGTGTTTCCTTTACTTTTGCCTCATATTTTGATGTACATCATGGAGTACCAACACGTCTCCCTGGAAGCTCAGATAACACAGCAGCTGTCATTGTGCAGTAGAAATAACTTAAGGTGACTTAACCAATTCTTAAACCAGGCAAGCATAATCTATGAAGATACATAACTGCAGCACACAAGCACATTGTTTTTGTATATTTTCTCTTTATTTTTACTTGCCAGTGAAGAATCTAAAACATTTTCCTGTTTGCTGCTTAGAGTTTATAAAAGAGCTGGAGCAGGATTTTGCACTTAATCTGGTTTCCTCTGTTTATCTTAGTTTATTAAACAGTCTTTGCGTTATTTGGAACATCAATCCTTTAGTCACTGATGCAATCATACAGTAGATTTGTTTTACAAAACACTGTTCTGAGAGATGATAGCGGGGTATCCAACAGATGGCACTGCAGCACTACTGCGTGACGTACTCTGAGTGGTGATTGTTAAAGAGTGGTTCCCCAAAGGTGTGCCCCTTGAAATGTGGCTTCAACCATAAATTGTCATTGCAACTGACCATAAACCTTTCTTTCTTCAGCTGGTCCCCTTAGGGGTTGCTACATCCATGAATCTTCTCTGTGGTCTTCCTCTTTTCCTCCTGCCTGGCAGCTCCATATTTAAGATAATTTTCCCAATATATCCACTATTCCTCCTCTGCACAAGTTCAAATCATCTCAGTCTTGCTTTTCTTACTTTGTCTCCAAAATGCTTAAAAGGAGTTGTCAACTCCAGCTCTGCCTCCTTTCTGTTTTATGTGTGCCATCATCTCCAAACCATCACCAACATCTTGTAAACTTTCCCTTTAACTGCAGTTGCATTTACCATTAGTGCACATCAAAGGCCCTCACTGGTGTCGATGAGGAAAACAAAAATCTGCGAGGGTGGTGGTGGTGGTGGTGGTGGGGGACTGCTTTTGTTTTAAAGCAAAACACAAGCAGCCAACACAATCTACTAACTACAGAGTTTTTAGCTTGGCCATAGTTTCAGCCTAAATGCCTCCACTGTGGGGAGAAGTTGGCTGACATGGTGCCAAGCAAGCTGAAAAGGAAACCTAACCCATCCTTTCTGAGAGAAACTTGGCTTCTCAAAGGAAAGGCTTGAGCTGAACAAAAGCTTTCACTTTATCTGATTTTTACTACATTTCCATCATGGTGAAATGAATATTCCTGCATTATCCACTGGAAATTTGAATAAAAATAACAAGGAGAGTTTTTCCAATGAAAACATCTTTGACTTTTATTAATGTGTGTTTTCTCTCTTTGTCAGTAAATGAATTAAACTCAGCCTTTAACATCTGTTTGCGACAAAGAGACCGTTACCAGAAATGTAGAAAATTTGATGATGGAGTGATGATGATGGTGTTGCTTTAAGAAAAGTGTTTACAGTTAAGAGAAGAACTGATGACACTGTTCTTCTGTGGGTAAGATATGCTTTTTTGTTTTTGGCAGGTGTGAATAATCCAGTTTAACCTTTAGTGTGTTTTTGCCTCAAAATACTTGAAAACCACTGAGCACGGTAAAGTTACCAAACTCAGAGACACTGTGAATTCTGCAACAACAAGTAAAAGAAAACAAATAAAAGAGAAAAATTCCTTTTAGAAGGACAGTGACAGCGTGTGGAAAATGTGTGGTTTGGTTTGTATGTGTGTCTTTTGAACAATCTTGGTAACGTTTTAAAAAGGAACCAAAACAGTGAAGCTCCCAGTAGCAACAATTCAGTGCAAGTTTGGTATTTTGGACAACAAACTGTAAAGAGGCTTCAGAAAGTCCTCATTTAACCAACCAACAAACAAACATGCATTTGCTGTGAAACTAATGCTCTTTTTCTGACAACCTCAACATTAAAAAATACTTTTTACTGTTAATAAAGCTGTGAACAGATGGCAGAACCCGAATGCAGTGGAAAATTACATTATTTTACAAAAGCATAACCAAATCACTGTGTCTGGACTGGACTCCATCTAGAGTTGACCATTTGGCTAAAATGGGAAATAAAGCAAGAAGGGCCTGAGTCAGGGAGGTGATCAAGAGCCCAACGCATCGCTGTAATAGAGGTTCAGTATTTCTCTGCTTCCTCTGGCAATCAGCTACTTGGAGACCGTGGTGAGGGTTTGACTTAAATGTAAAGTGAGCGCATAAGGGAAAAATCCCCTGGACTAGCACCATCCTCGAGCCTTAGCACTGTAGTATGGCAGCGCTTCTCGGCA